GATGAAGTGGGTGAATTTTGCTTTATTAGAAATAGTGAGAATGAACTGATGAAATGTAAATTAAACATAGTGGCTCCTTATTGGCCTTTTTTCAGTTTTTGATTTTTCTTCGAGGAACATTGAAATGGAGATGTAGGTTTTAACTGAAGCCTTTTTCGAGCTAGATAGGTATTACAACACTTGAGATAGTTTAATGTAATTTTTATATACAACATAACATAAGTATATATATTTAGGGACAATATATGTAGATTATTGATTTGGGAATTTATATTGCTAATGTTTACCTGGTCCTCGATGAATACCGGGAGAATTGAAATGGTTGAAATTTGGGTATTATTGAATTGAAATTGTTGAAATTTGAAGTAACAATGATTGGAAATTCTTGTGGTTTTACTTGCTTACCTTTGCTTGTTTAAGAACATACTTTGATGTTCCTCCATTCTGATTACTTATCATTTGTTTGGACTCTAATCTTTTATGTTATACAATTGTTTCTTTGTAGGCTTGGTGGCAATTGTAGAAAGAATGGCGAAGGTGAAACACAAAATGTTGGTCTTATTTGGCAAAGATGGTGTTGGCAAGAGTACATTATCTGCTCAACTTTCATTTGCCTTGGCAGCTATGAATTTCCAGGTTGGTCTCCTGATATTGATATTTGTGGTCCAAGTTCGACATTGATACATTGTGCCCACCCTGAGTTACTTTCCTGGCTCCACCCCTGGTTGGAAGACTTAAAATAAGTTTAGAATGTGACAAAATTAATATATGATCGATAGATGTTAAGAATAACATTCATCACTTGTGCAATCATATAAATAATTTAAAATTTAATGCATTATACTCATTCGAATTCAAACTAAGAATATGTTCGGATCGTGACTTGAATAGATTTATTTTGTCTTGAAAAAAGAAAAGTTAAATACATTGACTTTATCGATGTCAAGAAAGATTGAATATGACTAGATTACAAATCAAGAACTGAAATGGATAACAATAAGCGGATTTGAAATTCAATATAATCATCCATAGTTTGATACAAAATACTTTTTAGCACTTTCTTAAATACTTTAACATAAAATCAAATCAAAATCTCTATTTTGTTTACATAATTCGAATCTCATATACAACTAGTACACTTCAATTGAATTTATTTCTCGTGGGATAATATTCTTGACTCACATAATCTATTACTGTCAACAATTTCGTATGCTAGCAAAATATTAACAAACAAAATTTTGACACCGTTGTTAGGATAGTAAATAAGAGTTTTTAATTTGTTTATACAATAAAATTAGTATTTTTAAAAACTGTTATTTTAGACTTAGGGTAATAAGTAAAGAATTAAAAATGAGGGTATATTTAGGGATGTAAATGAAATGAGCTGGAGATTGCGGCACGGGCCGGCTCGTGTTTTTTTTTAAACAGGTGTGAAATAAAAAAAAAATTAACAATATAATTATGTGTAATCTTGAATGTATTGTTTCATGACCCATGACAATAGAATTATAATTTCATACTACATTGAAAGATATTTAAAAAGAAAAAAAATTTTAGCGCAACTTGCATTTCAAAACACGGGGTCTGCATAGGCTCGGGTCGATGCCCAAAAGTAAGGCTCGACTAGAGTCTCAACTCGGTTCTCTCGAGCCATGAGCCGAGCTAGCTCGAACCTTTTTTGGGCTGTCGACGAACCAAATTGACATCTCCAAATATATTTTAACTTTTTAAAGAAAAAGAGGCATATAGCGTAATTTCCTCCTTATACTATTTGCAATATGGTATCTAAAATAATGATAGATTGAAATTTGACTGGAAACTTTCCAAATCTTTCAAATAAGCTCTAGATGAAAATCATGAAATTTAGGGTTTAGGGCTCAACAAAAGCAAACAGAAGGCAAAGCAAATATTTCAATCAAACGAGGCTGTGAAATTTGTCGAAGTGACACAATTTACAGATCACACAGAGAAGATGGCGAAATCAATGAGATCGAAGAGGGAGAAGAGGCTGAGGGCCATTAAGAGAGAGCTCGTAGAACCCATTTACGACAAGAAAGACGCCGCCAAGCTTGCCGCTCAGGAGGCCGCCCTCGCCGCCCCCAAGCTCCCCGTCAAGTCCACTCCCACCACTTCCGTCAACGATATGGATCTCACCGCCTCAACTACCACTTTTATTGATAAAAACACGGGTACCGTTTTCTTTTTCCTTCGTTTTCTTTTGTAGGGTTTACCATTTTTAGTTATTGGTTGATGCAGCCTGATTTGTGATATTCATTCAGATATGGGTGTGTGTTTCTGCTTTATCATATTTTTGTTGTTTTGTGCTTAATTTGATTTGCTTTTGTTTACTATCTCTAGACTATTTCTTTTCAATTTCTAAAGTTTTTGGTGCATATTCAATCTAATTTATTATGAGAAGTTGCTGTCTCTGATGGATTTGTTATTTTATTCTGTCTCTATCAATCCAGATTTTCCCATATTCTTCAGATATTCTCTCAGGACTTGTTATTTCCATGGTACATAAATTGTATAATCTTTAGTTCATGGAAGTCTTGTATAAGGTTTAAGAGCAGGGGCGAAGCTAGAACCTATGTTATGGCGTTCTAAAATTTTGTGCTGGGCGAGGCATGATTCATGAATTCATGTTTGGGTTGGCTAAATATTTCTTTAAGCCAATTTTATGAAGTTAAAAAAGAATTTGGGTCACTTTTGTGTTGTAAAACAAGAAGAAAGGAAAAAAATCCCTAAACTTTGGGCTGAACTACAGCTCAATTCTC